ACCCCATATAGATTTCCACTACCACTTTACCAGATACGAATTCTATACCACAAAATCCTGGTGATCAAATTATCTCCTTGCATATCATGTTTTATCTTTACTCCTGTCTTACATGCAGAAATAACCCTGGGTTCTTGAAGACTATGCCAAGAGAACAACAGTTCTGTCACATTTTACAACACTGGAAAAATTTCAAGTATGGGCCTAGTTTGTCTGAGGGTCAACCAGGCTGGCTGCAGAATGAAAAATAAATTTGGGCATATGGAAAAGGTCTTAGCAGCTAATGCTTTTGACAAAGGCCTGGTATCCAATATCTACAGGAAATGGATATAAATATATAAGAATCAGAGTCATTCCCCAATAGCTAAATGACAAAAAGATATAAACAGGTAGTTTTCAAAAGATCTATCAATAACCATATGAGAGTATGATGCATAAATGCAAATTAAATCATTTCTGTGATTGAATTTTTCACCCTTCAGATTGGCAAAAACGAAAAAGGTGAAAATAGTAAATGTTAGAAGACAGGCACATTACTGCACTGTTCACAGAGTTGTTAAGTATTCCAACAATTCTGAAAAGCAATTGTGAACTGTAACCAAAGTCACAAATAGCATATACTGGGGCAGCTAGATGGGACAGTGGATAGAGCTCCAGCCTTGGAGTCAGGAGGACCTAAGTTCAAATCTGACCTCAGACACTTGATACTTACTAGCTGTGTGACCCTGGTCAAATCATTTAACCCTGACTGCCTCACCAAAAAGCTCCCCCCAAAAAAATTACACCTAGTCTTTGACCAAAGGGAACCACTAACAGGTATTACACCAAAAGGGTCAGGGACAGAGAGAAAGGTCACATATATATAAATATATATATATATATGCATGTATGTATGTGTGTATGTACATGTATGTGTGTATGTATGTGTGTGTACATATGTATATATGTCTGTATATGTATGTATGTGTATATATATATATTTTAATGCGTAACAACACTTTTTATAGCAGCAAGGAATTGGAGGGGAAAACAGATGCCTGTTGACAGGAGAATGGCTGAACAAACTGCAGCATTCAAATACCATGAAATCTTATTGAGCCCTAAGAAATGATAAATACAGAGAATTCAAAGAAATGTGGAAGATGAATATGAAGCAACACAGAACAAAATAACCAGTACCAGGAGAAGAATTTACACAACGTCCAAGATAATGTAAAAGAAAACCACACTGAAAAGACTTCAGAATGCTGATCAACACGGTGACTTACGACTTCAAAAGATAGTTGATGAAACATGATTTCTGTTTCTCAACAGAAAGGCAGTAGAATAAAGGTGTGGAAAGAGATACGCATCTTTGGACAATATGTTGATTTGTTTTGCTGGAGTGTATTTGTTTGTTATGACGTAGGACTTATGGGATGAGTGAGAGTCCCTTTTATAAAAGTGCAATAATGAATTTTTTTTAATTTAGCCACAATTCTCAAAGACTGATGGAATTCATTGGGTAAAATCACAGAAAAATCCGTAAGAGAAATCCCCTCCAATTATAAGACTGGAAACAGTGAGAGTCTAAGTCAGAGAAGGGTCATGATATATAAGGTAAGGGAAAAACTCACATTGACAAAATTATAGATCTTTAAAGTACTGGAGTGAATTAAAATTTCATATTCACTTCAATTTTATTCAAGAATTATGAGGGCATAATTGCTCCTATTCAAGACCTTCTTTCTTATTATTTTCTACTGTGACTTACTGAGCACACCTCCATTACTTCTCCATCTCTCTTACAGTAATTATCCTTCATGTCTTTCATTTTCTGATTTTATATGGCAGTCCAGCAACTCCCATCCTATTGCGTTGCAGGGATTTTTGTCTCCATACCACTCAAATATTCAATAAAAGTTTTCTATGTCAGGTCAGAGAGTATCCTGACAAATGTGTCTTTCTCTGCCTTCCTGAGGTACTTTCCATTCCTTGATGAGAGATCATTGAAGAATTATAAGCTATAGTCCAGATAAACAAATCTTGTTGCTGTTCACTCCTTCTTCTTCCAAGACCATAACCTTTAAATGGAAGAGACTGAAAAAACCATTTGTGCTCTCTGATTTCCTATTTAGGATTTCAGAGTTTCTAGAGATACACTAATCACTAAAGACGAGAATTGTTCCAAAACCACAACTGCTACTTGTAGAAAAGTGTTGGTAACTTACTTAAAAAAATCGAAAAGAAACCCAAAAACCACAAAAGCAACAAGGAAGTTCTTAACATTCAATCTCAAGAACTGGGTAGCCATGAAGACAAAGATTCACATGCGTACTAGCCAATCTGAACAATTTAAATTAATATTTAGTGATCCTAGAAAAGCACCGTTGAATAATGTCATACAGCAGAAATGAATATTCTCAGACATTCATGTTGTATATTGATGAAATGATATCCCATCGACATTTGAAAAAATCCAAGATGAAGATGCCCATGAATAAAGCAAAAAACTAAAAAATATTCTAGACAATGATTCTTTAAGATGGATCACTGTTTCTTCTAGATACTGGGTGGGTTGGGGTGGGGAGGGAAAGGTTCACTTATAAATGCATATGGTTCCACTTCAGCCATTTTTCAGTCATGCCAGATTCTGTGATCCTATTTGGGGTTTTCGTGGCAAAGTTATTGGAAGTGGTTTGCCATTTCCTTCTCCAGCTCATCTGACTGATGAGGAAACTGAAGTATATAGGGTTAAGTGATTTGCCCAGGGTCACAGTGCTAGTAAGTGTTTGAGGCTGGATTTGAACTCACAAAGATGAGTCTTCCTGATTCCAAGCCCAGTGCTCTATCCCACATTAATAAAATTATTTTTCAATAAAAAATGAAGTGGATTTTCTTTAAATCTTAATTACAGCCTCAACGACAAAGAGGAGCCCAACAAATTGTTGACGTATCATAAGTTATCTGTAAAGCAAGAGCTGAGGCCCGATGACCTCTGAGGACCTGTTAAGTTTTGACACTCTAGGATTCTGATTCCTTCCAAAAACTAACTTTAATGGGGCAAACCCTAGTGCTCCAAAACCCCAAAACTCACAATTTTGATGAAATTTCTGATACTGATTTTCTGCAATGAAAAGTTTGGCAATCCATGGTTGTTCACAGCAGTCATTCCATTAGTTTAAAATGAGTAATCAACCTCAAAGCCAAGGCAACGATCATCCTGTTGAGAAGTCTGGTTTGATATAACCTCCTTATACAGATAATTTTTACTTTCACTCGAGACAGGAATTATCAAATCATATCAATATGGGCAATGGATGCGTTGGCAGTTGTATATTCAAGAATTTCTTCTCCTCCATGAAAGGCACCACAGATCAAGATTCCACCAATGAGAATGACTTGTTTTAGTAAAGTACATTAACTTTTTTTGGTAATGTACAAACATTCACATTTTCTGTATGCATTTTAAGAGACACGTTCTTTAACAGTTATTTTATTATGAATGTATACAAAAGTATGTATTATAAATATATTATTAAACACATAGTTAAATATATTATTAAGCATATGAATATATAAAAGTATATTTAACATCATAATCTAGTATATATGTATATAATTCCTAATTTCATGCTAAAATGATTTTTTTCATTAACAAAAATCTCTTAACTTTATTTTAAAAAAAACTTAATTTATTTCAATGAACAAAAATCCATTTTCTTCTTAACTTCATTTGCAACAAAGTCTGGATTTCCTCAGCCTAACAGGCTAAGAGAACTACTTTTATGTCAAGCAACTGGATAGCTTTTTCAAGGTTACCCAAGAGAAGTAGAGTTTTGGGGGAACTAATGACATGCTGTATGAGGTCACTGTGGCAAAGTATATAAGGGGCAGATAAAGAGAAAGAAAATAGAGTATAGAACACAAAAGGGTACCCAACAGACCCCTGGAAAGGTAGTAAAATGTTTTTTACCACTCCTGTCTTACATCAAGTATTTTTAAATAGTATTTTATTTTTTCTCCAGTTATATGTCAATAAAAAATTTAGCATTTATTTTTACAAGATTTTGAGTTCCAAATTTTTCTACCTCCCTCCCTCCCTCCCTTCCCCCTCTTCTGAAAATGGTAAAAAGTTTGATATAGTTTATATTTACATCAAATATTTTCATTTAATTTTCAGTCTTGTGAAGATGGTCCATGTAGTCAGGTACCATATAACTAAACACTGTAGAACTGTGACGTAGTGCCGCTGAGGCATTAGGGGTTCAATGAAGAGAAAGTAGGCACATTTTAGCAGATTGGTGAGATCTTGAAGAGGTCAGTGAACCCCTCGAAAAAAATAAAGCCAAAATCTTTCAAATATATCTTCAAAGAGCCTGTTCAGAATCTCAAAAGAATGATGAAAAAGCATGACTCCCATCTCTTGACAGAGAAGGGATGGACCAGAGGTACAAAATGTGATAAGCAAAGACATGGCCAACATGTTGATTTGTCTTCCTCAACTATACATTTTTGTTTCAAAGGAGGTCCTCCACTACGGAGGGTTAAGTTAGGGAGTCATGATAGAAATGCAAACAAAAAAAAAAAAAGGTATCAATAAAACTTTTTTTACAAAATACCAAAAAAACTCCAGAAAGGGATACAAATAGGGCAATTTGCTAGTACATAGTTTAATATATATTTTTAAAATATTTTAATGGAAATTCATTTTTATATAATCCTCTATCTTGTTTCTTTGTATACTGAAGTGTGATAAGTGGTAATTATTAAATTTTTACTTTAAAAGTATTTCAAAAAGAAAAAATGATTTCCAGAATGAAATTTTCTCAAGCACTTTAAACTTTAGCATTCTGCTTCTTTTATTCAAGAGAGTGCTTCTATTGAGGAAAAGGATCACTGGGATGCAAAAAAATAAGCATCAATAAAACACTTTTTAAAATTTTACATTACAGTTACTGATCCACCATTTTGTTTCTGTTAAGCACTGAAAGTTCCCAATCCACTTTTCATCTTCTTACCTGTTTAGGTTGCTCTAATATTTGAAGGTATGGGCCATCTGCTAAAAAAAAAAAAACAAAAAAAAAAACAAAAAAAAAAACAGAAAAAGAAAAAGGTTAACTGTGAGGTTTCTCAAATTTGGCATAAAACATAAAACAAGTAAAAAAAATGAAACATACTACTAAAAAAGGCTTTGCATCTATATTCTTCACTCTACTCTACTTGGGCCATTATCTCCACTCCCTCCCAACCTGAGAATGGGATTTCGCCCTAGAGCCAGCCCAGGCTTTGACAGGACAACTCTGGACCTATCTTGTTCAGTTCTAAGCCTCTACCACTCTCCTAGGCCATCTACAGCCATGCCACCTAGCTGGTTTTCTTCTCCCATTTCTAACTCCTATTTATATAAGCTCCTTGAAGGTAAGGACTACCCTGCTTGTTAGCATCTGTATTTCCAGTTCTTAGCATAGTGCAGGGATGGGGAACCTACAGCCTCGAGGGTACATGTGGGGGTCCCCCCCAGGTCCTCAAGTGCGGCCCTTAATCAAAGGGCCACACTTGAGGACCTATGGGGACTGCATATGGCCTCAAGGCCACAGGTTCCCCACCCCTGGCATAGTGTATATGGCACTTGGTAAGCACTGAATAAATATTCTATCTATCATTCTAACTATCCATCCATCCATCCACCCATTTAAACCAAAAATTTCTTGAGAATATAATTTAGTCTCTTTTTATATATTTAACGTCTCCTGATTTGAGTGACTGCTCTTCAGTAAATAACAGAACCCCCAGGAATACTGGAGCCACCTGATAAATTTACAAGGCAGGGGTTGTCTTTGTGTTTTTTTTTTATCTAGCATGAACCTTAGATGGTTACCCTTTCCTAGGTAAATAATTCAACAAACTATAAATTTTCCTATGGAGAAACAAAGAAAATGTCACATTAGATTGCAGGAGGCAAGAGCTTGTAATTCTGCTCATGTTACCTATTACCAGGTACTCGTGGAAAATCACATGTCTCCCTTATATTCCAGAATTCAATGCAGTTTATGTTTAGTGATAACAGTAAAATAAGGATAAAAGTGAAACAGGGAAAATCATGAAATAGTCTCCTGTAAGACCTTATCCTGTAGTGTGTGTGTGTGTGCGTGTGCTTTGGCAATTACAATTGCACTAAGATTTTTGGGACACGTATGTAAGATCCATATTAGTATCCCATTCTAGCATAATTCTTCCACAATTAAGAATTCAATATAAAGTCAGACTCAGTTGATATATCGCTTGATCTTGCTGAGTTCCTTTCCCCTTTTTATTTTTTAATTCTTTCATACCAGGATTGGCTCCCTCACCAGGAAAGGAGGAAGAGATATATTTGGAAATAAAGATACCATAAAAACAAGAGAGTCATAAATTCATTTTAAAGGAATTCCGTATAACATCAGTCTATTAGGAAAGGGCTAGGAGCTGGTAATACCATGAGGCTTTTGCTGGAAATAAATGTGATCTCACCTTCTTGTAACGAGGTTGAACAGCTAGCGTGGACCCTGAAAGCTTTTGTAATTAGAAAGCTTTCTTTAAAGTATAATAAGTATGAAGATGATAACCCGTTTCATTTTTATAGACCTTTTCATCTTTTTTTTTTACAATACTTTAGCCCAAGGGTGGGAATCTGCGGCCTCGAGGCCACCTGTGGCCCGCTAGGTCCTCAAGTGCAGCCCTTTGACTCGGATTCAGTCAAAGGGCCACACTTCCGGACCTAGCGGGCCACAGATGGCCTCGAGGCCGCAGATTCCCCATGGTTTAGCACTCTGTTTTCTTCCTTTTCCCTTGCCAGAGCTGAGGGAGGGAGATATAACAATCCTATCATTCTACTCACAGGACGATTTGGTGAGTGTGAGCCAAGGATATTGGGTGGTGTAAGGCTGTAAGCAATATTCCCCTTAAAGCAGGGCTTCTTAAACTTCTTGTACGTCATGGACTCCCTCATGGGAGTCTGAGGAAGACTATGGACTTCTTGTCAGTATGATTTTTTTAGTGCATAATTTAAGGAAATGCTAAATTTCAGTTAAATATTAATGAAAATAAAAATGTTATTTTTTTCCATCCAAGTTCATTCTTCCCCTGGATGCCTGGGAGGGGTGAGATTATCTGTGGACCCCAGGTTAAGAAACACTCTGTTAGCATGACTATACATATTTGTTACAGGTTTTGTTTTTTTTGCCTTCTCATTGGGTGAGGGAGAGGAAAGGAGGAAGGAGAAAATCTGGAACTAAAAAAAAAAAGAGTAAAAAAGTCTTTGTGCTTTAAAAAAAAAAAATAGAACCCCTCCTATAGATGTTTCCTAGTATGCAATGAGAGGGCAGCTAGGTGGCACAGTGGATAGAGTGCTGGGCCTGGAGTCAAGAAGATTCATCTTTGTGAGTTCAAATCTGACCCCAGACACTTACTAGCTGTGTGACCACGGGCAAGCCACTTAACCCTGTTTGCCTCAGTTTCCTCATCTATAAAATGAGCTGGAAAAGGAAATGGCAAAGCACTCCAGCATTTTGCCAAGAAAACCCCAAATGGGGCCGTAAAGAGTTGGACAAAACTGAAAAATGACTGAACAACATGTAACAACAAAGAACCTACAATATTTCTATATACACCTGTGGGGCTCATAGCTGGGCCTGTCCTGAAACCTCCCTCAGACACCTGCCCTCACCACAGGACAAGGATTCTCTAGAGGTAAGAACTGGAAAAGGAGGCCACTACAATCTCTCGAGAATATGAGCTCTAACAGGATCAAAGGACAAGTAAGCCTTCTTTCTATACCCTTCCAACTGACTGTGAGTCCCTCCCAAGATGGGGCCTACAAATCCTGGATCCAACCTCCCTCATCCCCACCTCCACCTACTTTCCTTTCTGGAAATATGACTCCTTTTCCCTAAGGAAAGGGAAGGGACAGGGAAAACAAAATGGTGGAAGATGCACTTGGTATTCTCCCATCTTTCTTCCACTGCTTGCTTGGCTGATTATTACTTAGATTTTCATTGCCCTCAAGCTGCCTGATTCTACTTCCCTCTGGCAGGTCCCTAATGTCTCTGGAGTAGTAGTTGTAAAATACACTCACATTCTCTCTCCATCTCTCTCATCTCTGTCTCTCCCCCTCTGTCTCTGTCTCTCTTATCTCTGTGCCTGTCTCACCTCTATCTCTCTCCCTCTCTTTGACTCTCATCTTTGTCTCTGCCCTTCTGTCTCTCTCTCTCATCTCTGTCTGTGTCTATCCGATCTCTTGTCTCTCCCCACCTCTCCCTATGTCTCTGTATGTTTCTCTGATCGCTGTGTTTCTGTCTCCTTCCCCTTTTCTCCTTCTTCAACTAAAATCCCTCATTCCTTCAGTGTAACTGAACTCAGGTGTGAAAGAGGAAAACAATTTGAATTAATTCACACTAAGGCAAGATAATTTCCCTTCTTCTTTACCCCACATCCCTTTCCAGGAGTGTTTGCATTTCAAAAGAGGATATTTACGCAACAAAAATAAATGACTACTTGCAAACATTTCACGTGGTATCTTGGAAATCTCTGGGGAGGAAGAGCTATTTTCTCCCAGTCTCTGAAGTCACAATATGGGTATGTCAAACCCTCACTCCACCCCAGGACACGGCCCTCCAGCTCTATCCTACACACAAAGGAGAGAAAGACAGCAACTCTATCCTTTTGCTCCCACCCCATCAGCTTTATGCCCAGATCTTTGGCTGACACGAGATGTCCAGCTTCTGGCCCCTCTGGGAAAATAAAAAGATCCAGCTATCCAAGTGCCCTTCTGTGATACATTTGACATTACTGAGGCGGACCTAGGGTAGCTTCCTCCTAGCTAGGTGAACAGTGGATAGATTAAGAGCTTTAGGCCTGGAGGGAAGAAGACTTGAATTCAAATATAGCCTCAGACACTCACTTACTAGCTGTGTGACCCTGAGTAAGTCACTTAACCTCTGTTGGTCTCAGTTTCCTCAACTGTAAAATGAGGGTGATAATAATAATAATAATACCTACATCCCAGGGCTGTTGTGAGGAGAAAAAGAGAGATGATATCTATAAAATGCTTTGCAAACTTTAAAGTCATCATGTTAGCTATCATGGCTCTCGCTCTACCTTCCAGTCCATGGATGACCATTTATTTATACATGTACTAAGGTGAGCACGTAGTAGAATGGACATCTCTATGGGAGTCAAAAATCCTGGCTCTGCTACTAGCTACTTCTGCGACCTCAGACAAATAGCTCACATTGTAAGAAGCTGGAGAGGGAGAAAACTTAGGGAACGTCAACAAAATCTGCAAGGTGTCCCCTAGATTTCTTTAAAGGAAGTTATGGACGGTCTTCATAGTGTTAAGTGTTCCCCTACCTGGAAGCAGGGACTATAGGATATAATCAAGGTCAAAACAGTACTTCCAATTCTATCATCTCAGGACAACCTGTTGTATTTTTAATAGTTCTCATTTATGTAGCATTTCAAGGTTTGCAAAAAGGTTTTTCTAACAATACGGAAAGAAAGCTCATGCAAATATCATTATCCCCATCTTACAGAACAGTCGGTTGATCAACAAGCAACTGTTAAGCACCTAAGGTATGCCAGGCACTGCGCTAAGCGCCGGGTATAAAAAGAATCGCCAAGAACACTCCCTGCCTCTCCAGATGCTCAAAGGCAAGGACGCTGAGGCCACCCCTGACAAAATGACTTTCCCACTGGCACGTAGCCAATAAATAAACGTCAAGGCTGAGGCTAGAACGATGTCTGCTGATGCCAGGGATAGCATCCTTTCCATTGTAACATACTAACTCTCCTAATAATACCAGCCATTTCTAAAGGCTCTATGGCAATTAGTTTGATGGCTTACACTCCTGGAAAGGGATGTGGGGTAAAGAATAAGGGAAATTATCTTGCCTTAGTGTGAATTAGTTCAAATTGTTTTCCTCTTTCACACCTGAGTTCAGTTACACCGAAGGAATGAGGGATTTTAGTTGAAGAAAGAGAAAAGGGGAAGGAGACAGAGACACGGGGATCAGAGAAACACAG